AATTTACTCATTTTAAGTTTAAAGATTAAGGCTTAGAGAGGTTAAATACTCATCTAAGATTATTAATTAATAAGGATAAAATGTGGACTTAGATCTATCTGAGCGTAGAGTGACGTGGAAAGAGCTTGACCTCTGTAATGAGACAGAACCCTCGTGCCAGTTCCCACTTCAGAACTGTGAGGTTTGGGTAAGCAGGACTTAACAGCTCTGCGTCTCCAACTGTTTGTGATAGAAAGATGATACCCATTTAAAGAGTTATTTTGACAATTAAGTTATACGTGCATATATAAGCATAGGTAATGGATGCTTAGTGACTTCTTTCTCTTACACTATCATTTTAATACACGTGGTTCCTTAGAGAGCTATGTCTCAAAAATATTTTTCAGTTATCTCCCTGAAAGAATGGAAGTTCTTCCTATTCTTATGAGAATTGGTATCATTTATTTTTAAAGAAAAGAGTAACTAAACATGTAGAAATATAACCAATATATACAAAACCACATACAGATTTAAAACTACCATTTAAATCCTTTGTATGTCCCTTCCTCTACCCCACCCTTAGATTCACTCAGTAAACCAGGGTCCCTTAACTCCACATAGGTAAGAGTTCAGTGTGGAAGAAACTTGAAAATTTATGATCCACTGATAAAAACGTATAAAAATACTTAACAAATCCCCATCTTCTTCCTTCTACTTCTCCTCCACACTCATCTCTTAGTTCTTTTTAACTGGCTGAAAACTGCAGAAACTCACCATTGTAAGAACTTCATTACTTTTTGGGAATATGCTATAGCGTGTTTACTATAAATAATTCTCATCATATAACACACTTGTCAAAAGAAATGAACAAAGTATATATCATGATACAGGAGCCTTGATTTTTACTGTTTTTGCTTACTTACTAATTCTCCAACTATAGCTCCCTGTCACTGTGAATTAGAGTGGTTCTGCTACATACAAATATTGTACTCAGGGTAATTAGATATTGGAATAGGACCCTCTGTAAATTACTTTAACTGGTGTCAGTGCTGAAGCAAATAAGAAATTTTAGCTAAAAAGAAGTTTCAGTTCTGTTTCTAGTTTGGGTTATTTTTCTAACCCCAAATAGCCTGACATAATGGAGTGCTTTTCTTTGTCAAAGGCAGCCTTTTCAAATCCAACTGCCAGGCACACTATTGAGCTATGTGTTCAATTCTAATTGGCTGAGATCTTTTCAATTTGGCAGATTCATCTTTAATGCGATGGATGTAAGATTATGTGTAGGTCTTTTCAATGGTTTTTCCATACTGGTGATTAGGGCAGAGGATTTGAACATAAGCAGGCAGCTGGCTATTTCTTCTGGCCAATTTAAATTGATTCATACAACTCCTTTGTACCTCAGGGAAAGGGCAGAACAAATCCAAGTGTGTGAGACAGCTATCGCTACTTTCAGATGGAATAGTAGAAAAAAAGCAGGGGGTGGGGGGAAGGCAGACTTAGGGATGGGAAATACTCTAAATATTGTAAAATTGGAGCTCTGAGCAGACTGGCAGAGAAATACTGAAATTTAAACAACAGGCTTCTGTGTAAAATCAAGGTCGCCAGGAAAATTATTTCTAAGATTGAGTTTGATATCTTTAGGTTAAAAGGGCTATGTAAACAAAGAAACAAAACAAAGCAAAATCAGTCTCATAGAAACAGAGACCAAAGGGCTGGTTACCAGAAGGGAGCGGGTGAAGGAATGGGTGAAAAAGGTGAAGGGGAATATAGTCAGTAGCATTTTGATAACACTACATGGTGACAAGATGATTACTAGAATTAGTGGGGTGATCACATTGTCGCATTGTAAGGTATAGAAATGTTGAATCACTATGTTGTACACCCAAAACCGATAGAAGTAACACAATATTGTATATCAACTATACTTAAATAAAAACATAAAAGGGCTATGTAAATGAAAGTATTTCTCATATCTGATTCCACAGGGACCCATGGCAAGTCAGCTCTTTCCTGAAAGTATTTTTAAAAAAGGTAACTCTTCCAGCACTGAAAAGCACCCTTGAACACACTTTATCAGAACAGCAGAGAGAGGGTCAGTGAAAAATTTTGGGGGGGGGTCAGGTGAAAGACTTGTTTTAGAATCATTCAGAAATGAATGTTGTTGAAAAAGACTCTCAATTTTCTCTTGAGAGGGTATACTCGGATATGCTATTTAAATTGGGCACATCCAAAAGTACTTCTTTTAAAACAGGAAGAAGCTGATTATGAAGCTGCCTTTTGGTTTATCTCTGTCCTAGGATAGAAAGTCACAATGGGGCCATTTCTATATAATCTCTATTCTATAAAGAAGTAACTTCAAGTGCAGTTTTAGTGCTTCTTCAATTCCATCTCCAAGTCACCCAGGAAAATCCTCAGTATGCACATCCACTAATTTGGTGAGTCCCTCCTTGAACAAGAAAGGAAAGCATTTCTTTATCCAAGTAAAACAGGGACAGCATACTGTTTGACAATGTTTTTTAAAAGGTCATTTTAATCCTCCTTGAGCACATGAAAATGATGCAACATTTCTCTGGCAAGAGAAAAATAACAACAATTTCATTTTGTTGGTTTGATTTGCTCTGCCCTAGAACATATGCAAAATATCCATCTGTCTCCTGAGTACTAACATTCAATTTGTTAAAATTCATAGTAATAATGAAATGCAACACTGGTGCCTGGCGCATTAGTTGAGCAAATAAGGGTGACAAGCATGGCATATGTTGCAGAGACCAGTGACTAAGTCCTCTAAGCTACAGGAATTTTGTTGTCATTTGGTAGGAACTCTTAGGAGACTACACAATGATTTATTGTTCCATAAAGTATGGGAACCCACAAAGAAAAATGAAGTAAAACCAGTTTTCAACTATCATGCTCAATCAACGAAACACACACAAAGCCGACCCCTGTGAAGAGCTGGCTGCAGCAGCTATTTCTGAGCTGTCTTCTGGAAGACTGATGCTCTGTAAACAGTCTTTCTCTGAAACTCAAATTTCTTAAGAGACACTGAGAATCACTTGAATAAATGCAATGTGTTGAGTAACTAAAACTTAATAAGGCCTTCTGAAGCTTCAGAATGTGTAAGATTTTCCAACGGATACTCAAATATGGAAATAGTTGAAATTTCTTCTACACAAAGCAGAAGGTTGTTACACCTAACAGAAACAAGTACAGATAGATACTTATCAAAAGACAGGTGTGTGCATGTTCACGGCAACTGTGTTTTTAATAATCCCTAATTGAAAACTATTCAAATGCCCCTAAAGAGTAGAATAAATAAATACATTGTGATACAGTTGCAAAACATTATACTATGCAACAAGAATGAATGATTTACAACTATCTGCAACAACATAAATGAATCTTACAAATTGTTGCTCAAAAGAGACCAGATGCAAAGACATATATAACATAACACTCAATTCATGTGAAATACAGAAGAGGCAAAAGTAAAATATGTTTCAAGAAGAGAGCAGTAACCTTTTTGGAGAGTGATCGGAAGAGAATGTAAGTAGGGATTTTGGATACTGGTCATGATTCATTTCTTCATCCGGATGCTAAAGTGAGTTTAGTTTATGAAAATTCATTGAATTACAATGTGCAAATGTGTGTGTGTGTTTATACAATACTTCAGTAAAAAAATAAAAAAACAGGCTTATATCTCCTGTATTCCCTACTATTCCACATTTGTTCACTTGTCTCTATTAAAGTAATGCCTATATCTTTTTAAATAGCATCTTCAGACTTTTATGTTTTCTTTTCCTCGTCTATGTTCTTATAGCTTCCCATTTCTACCCATCAAATTCCATCTCTCCTTTCATTAATAGACTTCCATGTACTACTTCAGGCAGAAAACCTTTTAGATTAACTTGGTAGCCTGAGAAATCTTCCAGTTTAGTAATTGTTCTTTAACATGGACTTCTAAGATTCTAGAATTTAAAAAGATAAGAACATTTCTTTACATACTTTAAACATCCTAAAAAGGCAATGCAGGAATCAAAGTCTGACGTATTTTACCACATTCAGTTGTCAGTCTCTGTTTTCAGTGACAATGTATATTGTTCCACGTCATCTAGAAATTTAAACTCTGTGGGAGCTCATGTATATAGAGCTTGCTTATGTATAAGCTTTATATGTACCTCACTTATAAGGTACAATATATCTTAATAACAATGACAAAGATGCTATTTCACCTTCTAAATATCTGAAGTTTCCTCTCCCTAAGGTGAAAATTTGTTATTAATCATCTTTATTTCTATATTGCTACTAGTACCGATGGTATCATTACTGAAATACCAATTATCAGGTATTTATTTTGTGCCAGACAATGTTGTAAGCAATTTGCACATACTATCTCATTTACTTTTTATAATCTTGTAAAACAGGGGTTGTTATTATGCTCATTTTCCAGATGAAGAAACTGAACCTCAGCAATAATTAACAACTTGCTCACAACCACAGAACATGACTTGATTTAAACCCAGGTGTTCTCATATCAAAACCCAAGCTTTCACCACTCGGAGCTCAAATAATTCATTGGCTCCCTTACTTTTTCTAGTAGAGGAACTGTCATCAGATCTGACTAATATTCCCTGTCTTTTTTTGGTATTATTTTCTTTTTAAAATTTTGAATTATCTTAAAAAATTCCCTCCGTATAAGAGACAAAGACTTGTTCTATGTCTACTCTGAGAAAGTATCCATTACTACCCATCACCATTTTGTTTCCCTGGCACCTAGGAGTGTGGTAGTTCATTCTCTTTTCGAAGTGTCAATACAAAGAATGCTTCCAGTTTATCTGCAGCTCAGAAGTTTCCTTCCCTAGTGATGATCTATTGGACTCTTTGATCCAAGTCCCCAGTGACTCAGATATAATCTACAGAGAAATGGAAGTGTACAAATCATGCAGGCAAAGAAATTCTTGATGCCATCATCTATGCACACAGTTCCATGTATTAGTACAGAGCTGACATGATGAAAAATATACCTTTTTCATAAGCCCACATCAAACATGTCTGCTCATCTTTTTCACCACTTGACCTGCTGGGATCACAGGCTACCAGATTCATGTCAGCTCCATTATCCAGTAAGAACTGAACCAGGCGAATGTGACCGTGGTAGCAAGCAGAGTGCAATCCTATAATGGGATAGAATGAGAGTGCAAAAGAAAAAAAAAAGAGGAAAACACACCAATTTTCAAAAGACAATCAGTCATTGCCACATAATAACCTTGTTACTAGAAATATAAAGGGAGAACAACTTTTTTTGCTAAAGAATTCTATTACTGTATGAACAAGATATACTTCAAGCAAAAGAAGTATCCTGTTCTAGTTGATCTTCTCTGTAGACTGCCTTTTGTTTAGCACAATCTCTGGTATTTCTATACCCACTGCAATTACCAAGAACAAAGGTTAACATTTTTGTACACGTCAAAGAACAAAGACCCAGATCAAGTACTTTTCTTGAGCAGCAGACCAAGGGGGAGGGGGGCAGTGTGGTCAGTTTGTTCTTGTGGTCAGTAAGCCATAAGGGATTAATCAACTGCTGATAATTTAGCCCGAGACTGATGCTGACTCAAGGTCAGTTGCTTTTTTATTATAACCATGCATCATCAATTCTAAATGACATAACTGATAAAATATCTCTCCTCATGGATCACTGCCACTGCCACTGTCCTTGACAATTTCTGACATACCTCAGAAGCTAGTGATGATCTCTCTCAGTCTTACCTGTGTGTCCATCTCTTCCTTGGTGGTTGATGCTTACAACATTTTGATCAAGAAGAAATTTAACCAGATCAATGTTCTTGCCATAGGTGCAAGCACTGCAGAATGACACCATAAGAAAATAGAAGGCTCTTGTTATGGGCTGAATTGCATTGAATTGCATGCCTGCGCCCTTCTCCGCTCCCACCCCCACTGACATATTAACATGGCGAAGCCCTGACTTCTATAACCTCAAAATGTGTTGATATTTAAAGAAGTACAAGTTAAAATTGAATCATTAGAGTGGTCCCTAATCCAATATGACTGGTATCTTTCTAAGAAGGAAAGAATAGCAGATGGCAGAAATAGAAGACATTCATGTGAAGGTACAGGGAAAAGGTGGCCATCTATAAGCCAAGGAGAAAGGGTTTCAGAAGAAACCAAACCTGCTGACACTTTCATCTTGGACTGCCCACCTCCAGAAATGTGAGAGAATAAAGAACTGGTTACCAAGCAATATAGTGTGTGGTATTTTATAATGACAGCCATAGAGAATGATTATAGCCCTGGTTGACTCAGGCTATTTCAGATGCTCATGTCTATGTAGGAGCATCAGAGAAACAGAGAAGGCAGAAGCAGGGAAGGAAGGAGGAGGAAGTGAGGAAAAACAGGCACACATAGGGTAAAATCCTAAAGATTCTCACATCTGGACCTTCAAGAAAGAAGTATAAACTTTCTAGCACTTTCCTAACAAATATTTCCTATTTTACTAATCCTTTTCCATAAAAGGAAGAAAAATATGGAAAGCGCTCCATGTCATTTTAGCTACAGGACCTAAACATTTTGCAGGACGATCGAGTGAGGGAACCCAGGAGGTCCCTAGGAGATTCAGGTATATCCAGGTCATAGTTTGAATTTTTCCCCTGGTGGTGTAGGAAAAACATGCACTGTCTTTTTGGAGGCTTTCTAAATCAGAGGGCAAAATCTCACAGCTTCATTCTGCTGAGGGAGCATTGGTAATGGAGTTAAAAATCCAGAGCTCTGGCTCATGGTACTAGCCAGATGACCTCAGACCAGTTCTTTGATCTATTTGGGTTTTAGTTTTATCTCCTATAAAATAATTATAATAATTTTCTACCTACCACATTCTGCTGAAATTCCAAGTGCATTGATGATTATGGAAGTCCATTACAAGCTACAGAGAACTGTTCATTGTCAGTTCTTTCCTACTGGGAGTATGTTTTTGTGGAAAAAAATAACATATTTCAAGACCCCTGCCAATAAGATTCCTATAGATACATTTTATAATTAGATTTGTTGAAGTAGTTAATTGAAATTCTGATTTCTACTATTTACCTTGCAAGCTAAGATGAATAGAAAAAAATTATATAAGATAAATCAGATATAATAATAACAGATGGATTTTTTTACTAGTAATTCTCACAAACTTTCTTCTCCTATAGTTCCCCTCGCATTTCTTCTTTTGCTATAATTTGTTTGCAACACTCTACTCCTAATCTCCAGGAACCTGTGTGGTATGTCACCGGTGGCTGGAAGGAGCAAACACTGGGCAGAGCCCCATCTAAATAATGGCTACAGGAAGGATGTAGAAACTCTGTAATATTGTGATATATACTAATAAGTATATATGTTTCATCTTCAACTTCATGCCTGGCACCGAGCTCCTAAGACTATTATAATTTCTTAAGCAATTGGAAGAACTTTTGTTATAATATTTGTTCTTTTTGTCTTTGATTCCTGAAATAGCTCCAGAACAATAAAAGTGAAAGGAGAATCTTAAGTTATTTATAATAGGCCCTTTTCAACAACACCTGTGTTTATGTTAAGGTGATTTTTGGAAAGCCCCCAGATAACTACCAGATGTGGGTTGGTTGCCAGGGGAACCAACCTTGTGAACAGAGGATTGTCAGCACTACCACCCTATCTCAGGGAAGGGGGTTGAATTAGTCACCAGTGGTCAATGATTTAATTGCCATGCCTATGTTATAAAACCTCCAAGAAGGTCCCTAAAGCACAGGTTTTGAAGAGTCTCTAGACTGGTAAAAACACGCGTGTGCTGGAAGGCCCACCTCCCTTCCTGCATACTTTGCTCTATGCATCTCTCTTCCATTGGCTGTTCATGAGTTATATCCTTTTGTAATAAATGTGTGATTTAATAAGTGAACAATTTCCTGAGTTCTCTGAGATGTTATAGCAAATTATCAAGCCCAAGTAAGGGGTGGTAGAACCTCTGATTTAGAACCAATAGGTCAGTAGTAAGGCAATAACCAGGACGTGCGACTGGCCTCTGAAGTAGGGAGCAGTCTTATGAAACTGACCCCTTAACTTGTGGAATCTGATACTAAGTTTAGGTAGATAGAGTCAGAATTTAATTGAATGGTAGGATACCCACTTGATGTCCACACAGAATTAGAAAACTGCTTGGTGTGGAAAAACTCATGCACAGATGTATTCCAGAAGTGAAGTAGTATTGTAGGAGAGTAAAGAATAACTGTTATTTCATTCCAGACTTGGTTCTAGAAGCAGTAATACTCTGGGTCTCATTATTACCTCTTCCTTGGATGGTCATGTGCAAATTCTTTTTCTCTAATAAAATATCATTATCTTCCTTAAAGAAACACCAGTATTCATCTAGATGAACTGTTGTTTCCTCCACAAAGGGTGATCATGAACTAAAGGCTGAGTTTATTGTTGTCTCCTCTGCTTTCTTGCCATTTAGGTCTTTGGTACTTCTCCCATTATTACTATAATGGATATACCCCTGCTTGCCATGATAACTTATAGAAGAGTTCTTTCAAGACGAGAAGGAATCTTGTCATCATAACAAACCTACCATCATCTATACAAGGGCAGTTCTTAATAAATCTATCTTTTTAGAATTATATTTTATTGATTATGCTATTATAGTTACCCTGATTTTTTTCCTTTGCCCTGCTTCACCCAGCATCCCCCACTCCCTCAGGCAACCCCTCCACCACTGTTCATGTCCATGGGTCATGCGTATAAGATCTTTGGCTACTCTATGTCCTATACTGTACTTTACATCCCCCTGGCTATTCTGTAACTAACCTATTTGTACTTCTTACTCCACTCACCTCTTCACACATTTCTGCACACTCCCCTCCCATCTGGCAACCATCAAAATGCTCTCTGTGTCCATGATTCTGTCTCTGTTCTTTTTCTTTGCTTAGTTTGTTTTTTAGATTCAATTGTTGATAGATATGTATTTGTTGCTATTTTATTATTCATAGCGTTGATCTTCTTTTTCTTAGATAAGTACCTTTAACATTTCATATAATAATGGTTTGGTGCTGATGAACTCCTTTAGCTTTTTTCTTGTCTGGGAAGCTCTATATCTGCTCTTCCATTATAAATGATATCTGCTGGGTAGAGCAATCTTGGCTATAAGTCCCTTCTTTTCATGACTTTGAATATTTCTTGCCAATCTCTTTTAGCATGCAAAATTTCTTTTGAAAAATCAGCTGACAGTCTTATGGGAATTCCCCTGTATGTAACTGACTTTTTTCTAGTATTGCTTTTAAGATTCTTTATCTTTAAACTTTGGAATTTTAATGATGATGTGTCTTGGACTGGGACTCTTTGCCTCCATCTTGTTTGAGACTGTGCTTCCTGGACTTGCACATCTATTTCCTTCATCAAAATACAGAAGTTTTCTTTCATTAATTTTTCAAATACATTTCCAACTTCTTGCTCTTTCTCTTCTCCTTCTGGCACCCCTATGATGCGAGTGTTGAATATTTTGAAGTTGTCCCAGAGGCCGTTTATACTGTCCTCATTTTTTTGGATTCTTTTTTTCTGTTTATTATCCTGATTGGTTGTTTTTTGCTTCTTATGTTTCATATCATTACTTTGATTGTTGGCTCTACTGTTTTTTCTCTGTAAATTGTTCTTTATTTCAATTAGTGTATTCTTTGTTTCTGATCAGATCTTTGTTATGCTGTTGATGTCCTCACTAAGTTCCTTCAGCATCCTTATAACCAGTGTTTAGAACTCTGCATCTGATGGATTGCTTATCTCCGTTTCATTTAGCTCTTTTTTTTTCTGGAATTCTGATATGTTCTTTCTTTTGTGCTGTATTTTTCTCTCCTCATTTTGGCAGCCTCCCTGTATTTGTTTTTATGTATTAGGTAAAGCTGCTTTGACTCTGTGTCTTGGTAGTGTGGCCTAATGTAGTTGAGGTTCTGTAGGGTTCAGTGGCACAGCCTCCCCTATCACCCAAGCTGGGTACTTGAGGTGAGCCCTTTACGTGGGCTGAAGACACCCTCCACTGTAGTCAGGCCTTGGTTTCTGTTGACAGATTAGTGGAAGGGATTTACCCAGGCCAGTCAGCTGCAAGAACTGGCTGTAACCACTTACCTCCCACCTCAGTCCTCTGAGGAGGATCAGCTGTGCAGGGGCAGAGTGGTGGTGCTCTAATGTGGTTTGTAGCTATCCACTGGGTGTGCTGGCCCTGTAGTTTCCTGGGTGGTACAGGCCAAGGTCACACACCCCCACCATCTGGGTTTTGCCCAGGGTTACCCTGCCTGAGTTATAAAGCTATCTGTGATAGTTGCTACTTGTGCTGGGTTTGCAGATTTCTAAGCAAAGCCAAGCTGGGAATCTAGGCTGACTGTTGCTAGTGCTGAGTCTGGGGCTCACTGAGGCCAGCTGTTGCTTGTTTGATATAATTTAGGAAGTTGTACAGCATGAGCCAAGACCAGCCATTCATATGGAAAGGCAGCTTGGGTGGGCCCATAAGTTGGGTGGGGCAGAGTCTCTAGGGATCTCCAAGGCAGGTCAAACAGTGCTAGCCTGTTTGGTGGAGTCTCAGATGCAGCACCAGTTTGCCAGCTCTGTGGTGGGAGGGTTTAAAAAAGGGAAAATGGCCTCTGCTCTCCTTGATGCCAGACACTTCAGTTCCTCTCTTTATGCCAACGGTGCCTTTGAAGCTGGTACCCCAGTGCTGGAACTCAGAGGGAGTCAGTCTGAGTAGGTGAGTCTGTGTGTGTGTTATTTAAGACAAACTGCTTGGGGCTCCAGAAATTTCTTCTACTGAATCATTCTCTGCTGGTTTTGCAGCCAGAAGTTTGGGGACTTATCTTCCTGGCACTGGAATCTTGGGCTTGGGGGCTTGGTACGGGACTGGGATTCCCCACTCCTGAGATATCCCTCCTGAATTTTTATCTACCACATGTGGGTGAGGAACCAGCCTGATCTGCATCTGCACCCCTTCTACCAATATGGGTGGATGTGGTTTCTTTAATTCCATGGTTGTTGGACTTCCATTTAAGTTGATTTCAGATAGTCCTGAGTGATGGTTGTTCTATATTTTAGTTGTAATTTTGATGTAGTTGTATAAAGAGGAGAGCGGTGTCTGTCTTCACTGCCTCTTAACTGAAAGTCAATAAACCTTTTTTGAATAAGTAATTGAGTGAATAAAAAGCTACCATCTCGCTGCAAGAGTTTATCAGCACTGATTTTCTGCATTATAAACAGTACAGTACTGTATTTTTAATGTTCTATTGTCTGAGTTGCCTCATTATTTCTTTTCAAAGCAACTATTTATAGGAAATAAGTTCTGAATATATACATGTATATATATATATATATATATATATATATATATGTGTGTGTGTGTGTGTGTGTGTGTGTGTATTTATGGGTATGTTTATGCATATAAAGTAGTAACAGAAATAAAAATATTGAGTGCTTGCTACATAAAAAGCTCTCTAATTGGTACATAGAAAACTCATAATCAGAGTAAATTCTTCATGTAAAAGAAAAATTTCTTTTATAAATCTGTGCTTAAAATGAACAGAATAAACACATTATGCTGTTCCCAGTAGCCACAGGTTTGCACAAAATAAAACAATTGAACATGCTTTTAACTCAATTTCATGAATCTTGTCATATAAATGATTTTCCAGAAGGGACAATCACTTTCTGATTTCAGTTGATTCCAATTTATATGCACAGAATAGCAAAATAATTTAAGAACTAGCCTGAGGTATATGCCTTAACAAGTATGACCTGTGGGGAAAGAGAACATCAGCAGCTGTACACAACTGTTCGGCCAATTGTCCTCTGCAGTGACAAATCCCACTTATCCATTTTTACCGAAGCTGTGATCAGAAGAGTTCTGGCACCTGCTTTGTTACAGTGTGTATAGAAAACAGACTAAATATTTTGGTAGTAGAACATGAAGATATATGAAAGCACAGGATTTGGAATTAGGCGGGCATTTACTACATGATTTTCTAGACATAATCCCTGACAAGTTACTTAGCTTCCCTAAGTCTTGATTTTTCACCTGTAAAAGAGGGATAATAAATACACCTCTATAAAAATGGTTATGAACACTAACTAAGAGAATAGATGCACATAATATGGTATATATCATCAGTCCATAAATGGTAGTTTTCTTTGCCTCCCTTTTTGCTGACCTTTTGGTTGACAGAAAAAATCTGGAAATCTAAATTAAATTTACAGGTGAATGCCTAATGCAGTAGCACAATCTTAACTTCAGTGCAGTATGAACAAGAGCCTCCTTGTGGAGGCAACTTTGCCTGCAGAGTTCCCCCCCTCCATCTGCCACGGATGAAAGTAACACTACCAAGACATGATCTGCTTGGGGAGGAGAGGTGGCTAGTCTCTCAGAGGAGAAAGACCAGGAGCCCCTTCCTCAATGGCTTTTATTGGGTTGTAATACACAGGAATACAGGCGGTAAGGATCAAACAGTGGATAACATTTCAAAGAAATCTGAGGGTTTAGTCTGAGTCAGTGTCTGTCAGGAAAGGGGATTGCAGAAACTTTGGGAGATATACTCATTTCCTGCTTGGACTTTTGTCATATGAATGAAAGCACTCTTAGCAAAGCAGACTTCACAGGACTTGGTGAAATCTTTCTTATGCTTGATCACCCCAGATCCAGCTCTAGCTGGGCAAGGGGCTGCACCACCTCCCTCATCACAGGTTTTCAGGCTTAAGCGGATTAGAGACAGGAAACACTTCTCCCAGAGGACGTGGGGACTTGGGCTACGTCAAAATAGCTGGGGGGCGAGGGTCCATCACTCCCTCTTTGTTGCAGCCCCCAAGTCCTTCCAGGGTGGCCTCCCAAGTGATCATGTCTGGCTTAGGTTGCCCCTCCTCTGAGGAGTCTTACCCATCTCTGACCAACCGACCATGCATTGGGGGCAGGGGAGGAAGTAGAGACAAGCTTTGTTTCCTTGTGGCTCACATTTTGGAGGTCACTCACTCAGCCTTAGCCATGGGGGGCAATTATAACTCCTGAAACCAGGCAGAGTGGTTCCCAACACCTCCTCATTTTTGTTATTCACTAGTGTCATAGAAACAGTATGTAAATAATGTAAATGTATAGTCTCACATTTATTTTTTTTTGAGGTTGCGTACTAGCCAAGACATCTGTAATATATAAGTAAATTAACTTATATTCAAGTTTTTACTAAATTAAAATGACTATGTTTTTATTTTTATAGCAAAATAGTATATTGTTAAAAATGAGAGTGTTAAATTCTATTAAAAATTTGCCTTCTTTTTGGACATTTTAAGGATTTGTGGCTCTGAGGTATTAGCTACCTTCTCTGTCCCTCCCTCCATTGCTCCCTCCCTCTATTCCTTTTTTGTTGCAACTTTCCAAACCTACCTGCTCTTTCAGTGTTTTTTGTCTAGAACAAAAAACGTGGTGTAAAGGACTCTCGCAGATGCCTAGAAAGGAGCTAGTGCCTTCTTAGGTGTCTCAGTGGCCCCCCTAACTAAGCTTTTACAGGCTGACAGATGGATGTCTTAGGTAGGTAGATGCATTTGCACAGAAGGTTTAAGTGCTAGGGAAAAAAGTGTCACATTTGATGCTGATGAATTCTGGTAATGAGATTCTTGTTGGAGGACTATGGGCACTGCCCCTTTTTGCAGCTTTCTGTGGAGTGAAGTGGAATAGAAACAATATGCTTACAGATGTTGATATGCCTGTTGCCTTGGCAACATCAGTCCCTGTCTTTGTGGCTGCTGCCAGGAATGCAGCATCTGGCACAGGCCCCATCTGTTGTACTAACTGCAGCATCTGCCTCTACCTTTTCTTCTGTGCATGTAGCTTAGGCTCCTCGTCTTCTGCCCACCTTCTGCTCTTGCTCTCTGATTGCAACATCTGCCACTGTTTGTTTTTGCTTTATGTACACAACTACAGGTGCCATAGGGTATTGGCTAAATTAGTGGCTATTGCACTTATTTTATTTTGTTTTTATTGTTATTGAATGTATCAGGGTGATATTGGTTAGTAAAATTATATAGGTTTCAGGTATATAATTCTACAATTCATCATCCATGTATTGTATTCTGTGTATACAATCCCAAGTCAAGTCTCCCATCACAATTTATCTCCTCTTTATCCTCTTCTACTTCCCCACCTTCCCTCTGTCAGTCACTATACTGTTGTCTGTGTCCACGAGTCCTTTTTTTCTTTGCTTAATCCCTTCACCTGTAACCCAGTCCCCAAAGTCCCCTCTCCCAACAGCCGTCAGTCTGTTCCTTATATCCAGGAGTCTGTCTCCACTGTGTTAGTTTATTTTGCTCATTAGAGTCCACATTTAAGTAAAATCATATGGTACTTGTCTATCTCTGACTATTGCATTTAAATATTCATTTACCTGTGAAAAGCTGTTTCACTGAAGATGTTTTCCTTAGTCAGACTTTCTATTCCTGCTATTTGGATGATTTCCTTGGCAACTTCAAATTTGCCATTGTAGCATGCCCTAGAGTTAAAGAACATGTTTTGATAATAGTAAAAACATACAAATACTTGGAGGGCCTATAGAATCGTACATAATACTCACAGGTGCAAAGGGGTATCTCCATAGATATTAACAACATGTGGCTGAACTTCTGAATCACTCTGGAGCAGGAACTTTGCTATATCATGGTGTCCAAAGCGAGAACAGAAATGGAGTGGGACATGGTCTTCATTGTCCTGAGCATTCACTGTTGTCAACAACAAAGAAAAAGGCAAGCTAACTGGAATCCTCTGCTTCTTGGCCTTCTCGTGGCTAGTGTCAGGAATTTTTCTAAGTGCCTGAGAGACTCTTAGCAATCACCAATTAATGATACTAATAAAGGAAATTAAGTGCAACCAATTTTAAAAATTATAATAATATTATATTGCCTATTGTCAAGTTAAACAGGCTTTCTCCTAGTTCCCATAAATTCTACCTGGGATGGAACTCATCTAATCAAATCTACCTTGCAGAGTGGAATAGATCAGGAAACTAATACGCACCTAGGAGGTACTCATGGCCTTAATTCTACAGGTATCTCCTTTCAAATTGTTTTTTTCTCCCTCTGGAGAATGTTATAAGTTACAGATCTTAGCCAGAGTACCATTGCCTAAAGATTTGGGTTGAACAAATTAGGAGGGGGGAGCTGGTTTTCTGCATGTTTACAACACTGTCTAGAAGGTTCTGATGCATGTTTACCTGAGAATTGTCATACTGTGGTACAGAAAGCGAGGTATAATAAAAAAACAATGAGCTTCAGATTGAGACAGACCTCATTAATCCCATTATTGCAGACAGTTATTTAATGTTCAATTGTTCATTCTATAATGGACTTTTGTCCTTCCTTTTGACCCACCCTTGGCCCACCCAACCGTATAACCTATTCTGACATTTGGGGATTTCCTATACTAAAAGTACTGCCTAGAAGCCAAAAACCACATTATACCATAGAACCTGGAAATATTTCCAAGTTCCCTCTGCAGTTAAGGAACAAGACTGGCAGAGGGTGACCCTATGTCCTGGTTTATACCTGTTAGCCTAGTGTGATGTGTAATAGTGACCCTTTCACTCTCAATTGTGCCCTGGTTTTGACACTTATCTATAGGGTCCTCCAACCAGCACATTATATCAGACTCTAATATTGGAGTTGATGATACAAAAAAGCAGATCCTAATTTATCTGGGCAATGTAGCAGTGGTGGGGTAGCTCCAAGCAATTTACAGCAGCAGTGATCCAACTGCAGACCCAGTGCCCTGAATCGCCGGTGCCAGAATCACAAGGGTTGCTGTGTGTGCCTACCTGGGGTGGCAGTTTGTCTTCTCAGGACTAGTTTTGGAGTGTGATTTTGGATATTGTTCTTTACTGTGAGGATTCCAAACCTAGCTTTCCAACCCTGTCTTGGGGAAGAGTCTATATGCTGCTTGACATCCTTTAATATACTCCTCTTATAAATTAGCAAGAGTTAGTTTCCAATGCTTGCAAATGCTTGCATCACCCAGGTGATGCATACCCATTCCTCAACAAGGATTAAACAATCACTCTCACCAGTACTGTGCTAGGTGCTAGAGGTATTGATTTCTTCTCAGTAACAATAGATGTAATAACACCCTTGCAAGGAGGCTGAAAGGATTAAGGGGGAGCATAATTGAACAGCTTCTGGCATGATGCCTATCACATATTAGACAGTTAATAAAAATGTGTACTCTCTCTTTTACTAATTTCCCTCCTAGAAATTTGCTAAGTGCTAAGACCAATAGAGTCTATACTCTCATATAACTTACAAGCTAGTTGGATAGTCAAGAATTACAGGGCTAAAGTAAGAATAACTAAACACCAAGCTGCTAAATTCTGGATCTGCTTTAGCATAATTTTAAAAATTAAAATAACTGAATCACTTGGTCTATGGCCAATTTTTTTTATTATTTCATTATTTGTCCATCTGTATAGGGTGCTTTATTTGAGATAGAATGTAATAACCCTTAACAAAGAACATGCATATGAAATTTTTTAGTGATGATAAATAAGAAAGAAAAAAGGAAGAAAAATGACTAATTTAAAAAACATGCAAGCAGTTTATTACTACAGTTGTTATAATCATCTAACTTTTAATGAACACCGATTTAGGCCTTGTAGCTGGCTATATTTTTAGATAATGATTCTCATTTTATTTTCCTGTAAGATCTTAAGCCACAGGGAAATCTTCAACAAAGTCACTGAATTCCTTCTCCCCTGGCTGTTACTAAAAAATAAATCTTTGAATTTTTTAATTAATTAGTGACTCAGAAGAACACTCTTTCTTCAGAAGAATGTTCCTGGTTGTTTTGATTATTTCTTTTTATGATACTCTTCCTTTGTTCACATTCTGTCGGGAGCCGGGGCAGTCAATATTGTGAGTGGGAGCCGAGAACAGCAGGGAGTCTGGAGTGTCCAGAGGTCATTTAAGATTTCTTGAGGTCCAGAGGGGAACATTGTAAAGCAGAATGCAGCACAGTCTTGCATTAATTCATAATTTTCCTTTGGCCGTGCTGGCCCCACCCAACATTGTTCTTCTATAATCGAACTGATAAGCTTCAAAGTAAGTTATCTATTTGGTGAATTACCTGAAGTGGGCTAGATATTCTTCCCGTCAAAGAAGATATAAAGGTCAATTAAACGAAGATGTCTGGAGAGGTCCAGATCAGGCACAGAGTTTATGTGTATATACCTATATTTATCTTCAGCCATTGTGATTTATTTAGTTTTGTCTTGGACCAATTTGCAATAACAAAAAAGTGTTTATTATTATGTTTATATGAGAAAAATTAAATGTATGAATGATATTCTATTTGTTCTAACTTAACATCTTATTGAGATATTTAAATAAAGTAAAATTTCAAGAAAGAAATACATGTCAGTCATTATAAGGAAAATATTTAGTGCCTGTCCCTCTGCTTTGAAGAGAGTCTATGCTCATTAATGTCATTTGAAAGAAATATTGAATAAATGGATGGGCGAACAGATGTTACTGCTTGCTTATATCTGTTTATAGATCTGAAAGAGCAGACAAAAATTTCATATTAACCCACAAATATGAGCACATACCATTAGCTCTCTAGAGCAACTCCCAATGATGTCTTAATTAAATTTTCAGTAATAGATCTGTGTGATAATTCTGATGATATATTTTTAAAAAGAAAATACTTTTTCTTACTGACCATATTCTAGACATTTCTGTGACTTTCTATAATATTATTTTATATTAAAAGATCTATAATATTTAATATTCAGATCACAACAAATTAAAAAATTCTGAATTTTAAACATTGTGAGGACTGTATCACCTTTTTCTTCTGATAGAGCCCAGCAGTACTTTGACCTTCTCAATCTCATTCAATGACCATTACATTTCTCTTTTTTCATTGCCCTAAGAGGTTTGAGGAGGACTGGAGACTTGAAACATATATGACTGAGTAGGCCGGTCTCCCAAACATGTTAAACTGAAGAGGTTGCTTTCAGAATTACATTTTGGCTAATTTTGAAGCCTGAATTTATTTTCATTTGTGACATTTTGTTACCATGGCAACACACTGTAAATAACAGATTTTAAACTGAGCTCCTTTTGGGGTCAGTCATTCTTCCTCTTATGTCTATCTACCATAGGCATGGGCCTGTGGTAAAAAAAAATACATCATCTGGAGGCTTAGCTACATTTTGGAATAAGTGAACTAGCTGACAATAAATCCTTTGTTGTGTCCATCAGTACAGCAGACCATCTGGTTTATTCTTTGTAATTGGTTGAAGTGCAAAAAAGACTTAAATATGAAGTATGTATTAGAAGAAAATTTAACAAATACTTCAAAATCTGAGTCATGCTCTGCATCTTGATTTTTTAAATGGTCGAGTAGGAGGCATGTAGAGCTTTTGTCAGTCAGAAAGAAAATACTTATAATTATATCACACGAGGCTGGAATGTAGGGGGAATACAGGTGCAGTACACATTCCAACACTTCTTGTAGAAGAGTCCTTTGATCCTGGAGACGTGCTGATCGTAAATGACACTCACTTGACACCAGTGAGCATTGGAGTTATGAAGATGAATAAAAAGCTGAGGATGGCATTGATTATCAAAGGAAAAAAGTGAGCAGTTCTTGACCCCTTGGACGAGCGAGGCGGTTTCAAAATCACAATTATGTGTTCAGTGGTTCACAGAGGTGTACCTCTGCCTATTCTAAACTAACAGAATCAAAGAGACTACTTAAACAGGGTCCATGAAACAGTGTTTTTTGCATCCTGGAAATACAGGTTGTTTATTATAACGCTGTAAACACGTCTAAGTCATTGCACACTGGCTCATAGAAAATGACACAAAATAAAATGGCTCAGTTTTCAACGTGAAAACTGCCTTAGCCTCTCCTCACCGTTGTCTCTGGGAGCCATTGTGTTTCCTCATGAGTAAATGAAAACATTGATTAGGTTTATTAAGCGAATATCAGCCTCAATTTTGAAGCAAGAAACTGGAAGTTCTAGAGCTTTGACAACCTTGTCCTTTTGGAAATGTGCATCGTTTCTGCTGCAAAGGCCAGCAGCTCTTACAGCTGAGCTTTTAATTAAGCCTCTTGGGGGTCAATGAAAGAATGTTGGATATACCTGAGAGAATTTAATGACAAGATGTAACTCTGAGTGAATCTGTGTCAAAATAAAGTTTGTGAGGAAGAGAAAAAGAAAAAAAACTTTTTTCAATACTCAAAATTTAATTGATTTTCCAAAATTTATTTTATAATTAATAAAAATACAAAGTTGCAGGAAATTCTCTTCTAACTGTATCTAAAATTTTTAAGTGTATTCTAGGGCTTCTTTTCTCAGGCTTGTCACACTCTAACTCTGTGTCTATTGAAGATAGTAATATTTTTATATAGTAATATCAGTTACTCAAACAGCAAATACTGAGGGGCTATGGGGAACTCTCCTATTGGTGTGGGAGTGAAAAAGTGTGCTGGCACTTTGGAAAATGGTTTGAAATTTCCTCAAATGTTAAACAGGTGCTTACCTCTGATTCAGCAATTCTACTTGTGTGTGTGTGCATATGCATATATATACGTGTGTGTGTATATATATATATATATATATATATATATCCCAAGAGAGATGATTATATATGTTCAGAAAAAGAATTAAGTATTACTATTTCTGGCTGCTGTATTCATAAAAGTCAAACACTGAGAACATTCAAATGTCCATTATGGGGAGAATCAAAAACAAATTGTGGAATGTTCATACAATCTTCAGCAATTAAAAAAATAGCAAACTACCTATATAAATGTCTAATCACTGTGTTGTACACTTGAAACTAAATAATATTGTATGTCAACTATAATTTAAAAATAAAAAATATTTAAAATTGCAAACTATGATTCATGCAACAACATGGATGAAAGTCAAAATCATTGTGTTGATCAAAGGAAGGCAGTCACAAAATTATATTAACTGCCATAACAGAAAAATAACTAACCTATGGAAAGAGAAGCCAGAACATTAATTATATTTGGTGGTGAAAGCTATTTACTGAGAAGGAGGCACAAGAGATATTTCCAGAGTATAACTTTCCAGTTGAAATATCTTCAACCTTCCAGATAAAAATATTCCACAACTTGACCTTGGTGGTTTGTACATGGGTGTATGCATAAGTAACTATTCACTTAAATCAATATTTACTTGAGATTTGAGAACTTTTCTGTATGTAAACTTTACCTCAATTTAAAACAACAAATAAAAATAATTTATGTAAGATAACCCCTTACTTTTTACTGCCATACATAATATATTAGGAATTGAACTAAAACGTGTAAAGAACAATTAACACATGGGTTTAATCAATATATTAAAATTATAAACTACAACTTGTAGATCAAATTAGTACATAAGTACAGAATTAATCATCTTCAAGATTATTTTCTTGTAAACAAGAATGGTCAGTAAAGGTCTTCTAAATACAGAATCTTACCATCTGCTTTGCTGCCTTCTTCTATCAAGAGTTTTGCAATAGCGAAGAATCCCTTTGCAGATGCTAGGTGCAGGGGCCTATCTCCAACTTCGCCACTGACATTTACATCAGCGCCAAATTTCAAAAGGAGGCGAGTTACCTAAAGGATCCATTCATTTCAAGTTAGTATCAAAAGTCAAAACATAATGCAACATTTTCATCGATAGGGAAGAAGACATATTGTTAAGGCTTTCTTTTAAGTTATTTTTGCCTGAAAACCTAACTCAGCTGGCCTAAAAATAAGGAATTTATTATTATATTACCTGAGAAATTTAAAACCATAGCAATTTCAGGGTTGGGTCTTCACTTACATAAATAATCCTCTCTAAAGTCACCCACCACTTACTGAAAATCTTTTCCAGTGTCTCCTGTCTAGAGCCAACAGTATTTACTTGGTTCTTGATTTTCACAGCACTTCCATTTATGTCACTCATGGTCATCTTGCTAATGACCTTCTGGGTCATTTTCTGAATTTTTTAAAGGGGGAGATAGCTGCACTAGCACTCAGCATCTTCCTCAGTTAGCTGAGATCCAAAGGGACAGAGAGAGATAACATATTAAGCAATTTAGAAGTTGACCAGAGGTTGTTTCAGATAATAGGGATTCCTTCAAATCATTTATATATTCTCTTAAAACCCTTCCAAATAATCTCTCTAAACCCAAAATTGCCTCCCCTGAGAATTTCAGAAGTCACTGTAGTACCCCAAGAAGTAGGTTAGGATGCATCTGTGTCACTTAGATAACATGTATGGGAGAACCCCTCACTGGTTCTGACCACTGGTGTGTAAGCATAAAAGTGAATACAAGCTCTAAAACTACTTTGATATTTGATGGGGCATCAAATAAACTTGTGTTTGGTAGAAACCTCTCAAGAATATGGGACATATTTGATAGAAATTCTAGGCAGAAAATTTAGCCGAGTGGGATGTGGGGAAACTTTCTATTGAGTGTAGTGGGTAAGCAACAAGGTTCTAAAATCAGACTTGTATTTATTAGCTATGTCATCTTAAATAAATTACTTGATCTTTCGAAACTTCAGTTTCTTCATTGGTAAGATAGGAATAAAAATATTTCAACATCATAGAATTGTGGGGATTAAAGGATTAAATTATTACATCTAAAGCACATAGAAAAGTGCCTATTAATAAATGTTGGCAGAAGTGATAGCACCAATATGAAACATGTATATTTTATCTCTTTGTTGGCTAGTGGTAGACCAATATTTAATTCAGGAGTAATGAGAGTGGTAGAAGTTTAGACTCAAGAACCTTGCACTCCTAAGCACATATTTCCACTTACATGGGCTCCATATATTTTGATTATGTGACTTTATAATGGACAGATTTAAACTATCTTCAAAATAGATTGTCTATTAAGCAGTGTTATCATATACCTAGGAAATATTGCTCTTGGTGCAAAACATCTACTCTTCTACTTAAAAATAAGTAAATAAACAAATGGCAAGGAACATGGCACATGAGGCACATTTATATATTGAATGCACCATTCTCCCGTCAGCATTTTTTAGCAAATGACAATAGCATCCATAAATTACTTATGTGCTGTCTTTGCATACAAAAAGCGAGTCCCTTATCGTAAAAGGGCCATCCACATTTTAGCATAATTTTATAAGACTGTGACTGCATATTCAGGGGAAGTAAACACATTTAGCTCTCCACCAGACATGCACAGAAGCTCTTTATATTTCCGCTGGGTGATGAGGTTAATATCCAGGGAGAATGACTCTACAGATAATATGCATCATGTATATCCTGTCTGTGCGTGAAGTTGGAAAAATAAGGAATTGTTTTATCACCTGGGTTTTTGGACCCTGTACATGCAAAAAGACTTTTCATGCCCAGCTCTGCAGTACACTGCAGGGCACTGTGAGCAGCACATCAACGGAATGAGCAATCCTCCCCAGCTATCAGTCACACTTCACAGATCTGAGAGTGTCCAAGCATATGCCAGTGAAGAAAAGAAACAAGGGCAGAATGACTAGAACAGCACAGAGACATAAGTAATTTTGATTTTCAACTTGGGATCCTCAGGTAGTACGATGGCATGACCTCTACAGAGGTACAAAGGTATCATCCTACTCCAGAACTGAGTAAGACCAGTGATATAGAGATATGAAATAAGGAAGAGGAACATAGGATGTCAATTGAATGCTTAGGTTTTGATTTTCCAATTACATTTGTGTTTCTACTTTATTTGATTCTATTTAGTTCCTTGTGTATAGCTAAAGGGAGTGTTTGAAAGCAGTGTGTACAAATTTTGTCTTTCAATATGTTAAGGTTGAAGATCAATGAACTTTGGAGTTAGAGCACTTGTCCTTAAATCCTAGCTCGATTACTTGGCAAACTGCCTGGACTTCATGATTTGGTTCACTAATATAATAGGGATAAGAGGCTTTTTAGTACAAGAATGATATAGCTTTGGGACCAGACAGGCTTGAATACACATTCCAGGCTTTCTATTATTAGCTGCATGACTCTGGCATGTTACCTGACCTGAGTGAGCTCCATGTGTAGCATTAGTAGAAGGGGGCAAATGACAGCTAATTTGGGGGTTGTGGCAAAAAAAATTTAAAAATTCACATAAAGGTCTTAACACAGTGTTTGTCCCATAATTAAACTAACTCACACCTGAAGCTCCTAAGGTTGTCAGGAAGGTCAAATGAAAGTATTTATTAAATGAAGGTATATTCTAAACTTTAAAGCATTCCATATATATTACTTTATGACAGAATATAAACTTTTATCAATATGTGCCTGTTGTACAATCATAGTTAAAACAAATTATATATTTAAAGCACATTTAGTGATTGTTTTGTAGTTGCTCTAGGTTATTCCACATATCTGTTTCTCATCATCATGGTAGCGAACTACCACATACTTATTGGATTAAAATAACCCAGATTTATTCTCTTAAAGTTCTAGAGGTCAGGAGTCTAAAATCAAGGTATTAGCAGATTGCATTGTCTCTGGAGGCTTTCATTTCCGTGCATCTTCAGATGACAAGCATCTTTCCGTGCTTGTCAGACTTCCTGGATTCCTCAGTCTGTGGTCCTTCTTGCATCACTTCAACCTCTTGCTTCTGTTGTCAGCTCTCCTACTAGTCTGATTTCCTGCTTCCTGTTATAAGGACCCTTGTGATTACAACAGGACCATCCAGTTAATCCAGGATAATCTCCCCATCTCAAGGTCTTTATCTTGATTACACCTGCAAAGTCCATTTTAAGGCTACATTCATGGGTCCTGGAAATTTCAATATGTTTTGGGAGACAGTTTTGAGCATAACACATCCCATGACAATGGAGGAAAGGAAACCCAGTTTCTGAATAATAACTTTTTTTCAGAGAACTGTTGGAAAGGACTTTGTCATTTGTTTTACTGTTACTGTCATTAGATCAACACAGTGACATTTATTGAACTTTTACCAAACACTTTACTAGCTTGTCATAAGAGCAAGTCTTTCAGATTAGGTTCTGTTAATATTTTTCCCATTCTATAGATGAAGATCACATGGTCATAAATTTTTCAAACTCAGGCTGACTTATTCCTGTGGACACACATCTACCAATGTGCTCTACTGCTTCCCTTGTTTACTAAAATTATCAGTAAAAATGAATCACTCCACAACTGCAATGTTTCTATGGATCTCCAAACTCCTCAAGGGTGGAGCTGATAAAAATATGGCAAAAATAATGCAAAGTGTATCTTAAATATCTTTTCTTTGAAGCTAGGATAGCTCGACAAAAGCCTGGAGTACCTAAGTGGTCTCCTAGCCTTTGGAAATACTACTGTCAGACTCACCTGTTCATGCCCATAGTATGCGGCAATGTGCAGTGGGGTGAAAAAAACTGCATCTTGAACATTGACGTTAGCTCCATGCTGCAGCAGCACATCAACAGCCTGGAAAAGAAAGAGAGCTCAGGAGCTTTATTGGGGAGTCTTCCTATGAATGTTCATTTTAAATAACTACATATAATTCTTCTCCAGGAATCATTGTCTCGAAACATATTTGTCTTCTATCTCCCTTCTCCAAACCCTTCACTGGCTTATTTTTGCCTGTAAAATAAAGACCAAACCCCTTTCCTATGGCATTCCAGGTCCTCTGAATGTGATGGTATCGTTTTAAATGTTCTTTTTCATTACTCACTTTTATAAATCCAATTGGATGGTCAAACTGCATTTCTTTTCCTGCTCCTTTGAGTCTTTGTTCACTTTACTTCCTCAGCCAGGAATTCTCTTTTGTCCAATCTACAAACGTTTAGATGTTTAAACTCAATCTAAATGCCATCTCCTCTAAAACTTTTTGACTTACCCTCCTTCAATGAAAACTGACTTGTCTTCCTTCCTCTCAACTCTCATATAACTTTCTTTCATGCCATTTAGAAAATTTAAAGAAATTATACACATGCCCTATCACCCCTACTAAATGGAAGGTGCTCTGAAGATAAAGTGTATATCAGATCTATCTTTATAATCCTACCTTAGTGTATAGCCATATAAATATTAATAATTCAATAAGCATTTGTTGAAGGGAGAGAGAAAGGAAGAGAGGGAGGGAGGAAGGAAGGAAGGAAACTACCAGGAGCTACTGGTCAACTGTCTTCATAGAAAGCCATAGATTGCCAACAAACCTACTGATGCTGCAGTTTTCTCCTATTCCCAAAGATCCATCTCTAAATCTCTCTTCTCTGGAAAAGTGATTGGGATAGTTTTCTTAAGATATGTTAATTTTCATTGTGGATTTTCCTAATGCATTGTTTATCTTTCAGTTGGTCAAATAATATACATTTGAAAGATTTTCAAAAGTCTATTAGACTGAGAAGACAAATCAGAAAGATGGGATGTAAGAGCTCAAGTGATTTATTGCTCTAATACCTCTTCTGTTTCCACAAAACAGTTGCCTCCTAAGTAATTTCTTCACCCATTGAATCACAGCTCCTCATAGCCAGGAAGGGACCATAGACATTGCATATCAAATCCCTGTGTTTTTAAAAGGAAGAAATTAAGAATCAGAGGAATTAGTAGAAAATTTCTCAAAGTTATGCTGCAGGTCACTATCAAGAAGGAAGCTTTGTTTCTGAGTATTTATTGAGCATATTTTAGCTAAAACTGTTATGTTACATGATTATCCTCACAGATTATTCAATCCCTGGGATGGTATTAGAACTGATGGTAATTGTCAAAAAGAATTCTTGTTATAATATCTAAAATTTCTGGTGGGTCCCAAAATATAAGCCGGTGTATACATTTCTACACATTTTCAAGATGACAATTCTGCTGATATTGGATATTGCTGACTAATGACTAATAGAATAATACACAATGTGTGCAGTGAATTGTTTTTCCATTGGGTTGGCTAAAACATTCACTTGATTTTTTTATTAAAATGGCTTTAGTAGTGCTTAGTTGTTTTTAACTTCATTAGAAACAACTTTGTTAGATTATATTGTGACAGCTATCATATCATCATCATAAAAATAAAACTTAACCAAATTGGTGAATATTTATAACCATTTTAATATTGAAGATGGGTGAAAATAGGCAACATTTTTGACATGTAATGATTTATTATTTCAAGAAAGGTAAAAATGCCATTGAAATGCAACAAAAAAAGATTTGTGCAGTGTATGAAGAAGGTTCTGGGACTGACCAAATGTGTCAAAAGTGGTTTGCAAAGTTTTGTGCTGGAGATTTCTTGCTGGATGATGCCCCATGGTTGGGTAGACTAGCTGAAGTTGACAGGGATCAAACTGAAACATTAATTGAGAACAATTAATGTTATACCACATGAGAGATAGCTGACATACTCAAAATATCCAAATCAATAGTTAGTGGTGAAAATAGAAAATGTGTCTTTTGTTTTATGGAAAACACCATACAGACTTTTTGGCCAACCCAATAATAAAAAATTAAGACCACAATTAACATTTATTGCCGGCACATTATGTATCAGGTCCTGAACTAAGGTGCATAAGTAGTAACTGGAGTGTCCTCTAACTGTTCTACCCCAAAACACAGAAAGACAGATGCTACTACTGTCTGATGTTAAAGGTGAAGAAACTGAGTCTTGTGAAGACTAGGTAATTTATGAGGTCATATGGCAATTAAGGGCCAGAACTGTAATTCAAATCTAGGGCTGTGTGACTTCAAAGTTTCTTTTCATCAGATCCTTCTTGTGACCTTGATCTCATTAACACTAACCTTTAAATAGATGAACTGACTGACTCAATCTCAGATAAGAGGAAGCTTTCTATCAGTTAGAAGCACCATAGATTCAACTTGAAAATGAATGCCAGAGCCATTTATTTCAAGTGCTTGTATCTTAGACTTCACATGTCTGGTAGTTCAATCTTAGAAACCTTTAAAAAAGGTCACTAATGATCAAGGTAAATGAAGCTTTTTACAATTTCTCTTATTTTAAATATAGCATAAAATAGACAGCATTGAATTTTTCTTGTAAAAAGGACTCTCAAATGTTAACATACAGAGCCAATTTCTTAGGCATGGTTCCAGAACTTACTTTCATTCTAATAGATAACAGCCCTTAGGCTTCAATAAATAGTCCAAAGTAATTTTTTTCTTCTAAATTTGCACTTATCCAGTCATTCAGAAGTTCGATTTTTGGCTGAATGTTCATTAATTGTGAAGTATTGGCTTTCTGAGTAACAGTCAAAATGTAAGTTTTAATGAAAGCATACAGTCATTATTGAACTGTAGGTTTTATTTAGTTTGTTTTAAAATTCGAGGGGAATGTTTAACTATTTAACAAATCACTTTGGAATGATGTGAATAATTTCACATGTTGTGTATAAGAATAGAATGCATTTATTGATTTTTATGACTTTTGGAGTCATTATGGAGAGAGCATCTCCCAGTGATCTTATGGGAATATGATTGATATATTATGATATACAAACATACCAGTCATACAGCTAAGACAAATGTACACATATTAACATTTAGGTCAGAAAACTTGTATATCAAATCATTTTATTCATGCTTCACCTACTCTAGAACCTGAAAAGACTGGTAGATCAACCTCACACCACTTCTATTATTAGAAGCTCCATGAGGTGATAGACTGAATCTGTTTTATTCGCCACTATGCTAAGTGTATGGTAGGCACCCAAATAATAATTAAACTGGACTGTATTTCTAGTAAAAAATAATGAAATATATATTTAATATTAGTCATGAGAAATTTAATCATTATCAGTTAGGCACTAATTACACAGTAGAAATTTTATATAACACGGTTCAATAAACATTTATTGATCATTATTTTCAAATTAACCTTTGGCAAACCCCAAGTGTCAGGAACTGTGATTGGAATTTTACAAAATTTTCTCAGTAAGATTTTGTAGGGCATAAAATTTCTCTTGCCTTAAAAATATTTAAGAAAATACATAGTTTTGCTTTTTGGTCCTCAAAACAACAACAAAATCACTACCAAATGGTAAACTAGAAACTTCTTATCACAGAAAGGCTATCTGAACAATATTAGAATTCTGTAAAGAAATGAATTGTATAATAGTTAGACATATATATCAGTATTATTATTAATACAATAAGAACCACAATTCCAATATAGGTTAGTAACTTGGTACCATTTACTATTGGAAAGATAAGCACCTTTAAGTTCTTCCCATTAAGTGGTTGTTTTAAGGAACAACCACTTAATGGATTAGAACCACAGAAAATGGATTAGAGCTCTTTATTTTGATAGTATGGCGATTACTATATAAATCACCCTTGACAAATGTTTTTATTTACTAGTTGACTCACCAAAACATCCAAGGGAAGTCTGTTCAATTTCCAGGTTGCAATCTAAACACTTGTTGACATTCTGCTCTTCTTTCCTAGAAAACCTCTCTGTCTTTCTCTGCCAGCCACATACCCAGTCTCAAGGCCAAGTTGAGTTCAATGTTCTCCATGAGAACCTTCTGCAAATACTTTACTCTATTGATAATTTCATTCTCTGAATGCTTATACTACTTATCCTTACAACTTAACCTTTCCATTAATTATGACTGTGGGTAAATCACTATTATATAAAATTTTAAATTGTTTTCCTTTTTTTGTATTTCTTTCTTTAAATTATATTTTATTGTTTATGCTATCACAATTGTCCAAAGTTTTTCTCCTTTGACCCCTCCACCCAGTTCCCTTGCCACTTCCTCAGGCATTCCCCACACTGTTGTCCATAGGTCGTATATATTTGTTCTCTGTTTCCTATGCTGTACTTTCTATCACCATGGTTATTCTGTAACTGACAATTTGTACTTCTTAATCCCTTCACCTTTTTCACCCATTCCCTGACCCCCTCCCATTTGGCAACCATGAAAATGTTTTTTGTGTCTACGATTCTGTTTCTATTCTGCTTGTTTATTTATTTTGTTTTTAGATTTAATTGTTGATAGATATGTATTTATTGCCATTTTATTGTTCATATTTTTGATCTTCCTCTTCTTCTTAAAGAAGACTCTTTAACACTTCATATAATACTAGTTTGGTGGTGATGAAATCTTTTAGCTTTTTCTTGTCTGGGAAGCTCTTTGTTCTTCAAACTGTTGTTCTTCCATTGTAAATGGTAGCTTTGCTGGGTAAATTAATTGGTTGTAGGTTCTTGCTTTTCATCACATTGAATATTTTTGCCATTCCTTCTAGTCTGCAAAGTTTCTTTTAAGAAATCAGCTGACAGTATTATAGGAACTCCCTTGTAGATAACTGACTTGTTTTCTGCTTTTACAATTTTTTGTGTTTAACTTTGAGCATTTTAATTATGATGTGTCTTGGTGTGGGTCTCCTTGTGTTCATCTTGTTTGGAACTCTCTGTGCTTCCTGGACTTGTGTGTCTATTTCCTTAACTAAGTTAGGGAAGTTTTCTCTCATTATTTTTT